GGGAGGCTTGGGAGAGAGAGGGGAACGCGTGGGGCTGGAGCAGAGCTTCTCAGGTGTGCAAACACACCTAGCCCACTGGAGCCTCCAGGTCCTGACTGTAGGGTCTGGGGTGGGCTTGAGAGTTTATTTTTTCTCCCAAGTCCACAGGTGACCCTGCTGGCCTAGGGAGCATGCTCCGAGATCCCCTGGGCTAGACAATGGAGAACCTTGGAGCATGCACTTCCTTCTGTGGCAACGGGGAGCAGCTGATGGCTCTGGAGTGAGGGCAAAGAAGAGCTGGCCAGAGCTGTGTTCCAGGGAGACTGATTTGGCAGGAGGCAGAGACAGACTGGGAGAGGGAGAGGCCTTCCGGAAGCTTGGCAGGAAAAGGAAGGAAGCTCAGGGTCAGAGCCAGAGTTCGTTTTATGTTTGTAGGGAGGTGTTTCTTATTCGTTTAAAGAATTAGAGGGGTGTGTACAATTGCTAGATAAATTCCCATCTCCCCCAGCCCAGGCATTCCCACAGCATGTGCTGGCCGGTGCCCTCTGTCACACTTGTCCCTTGGGGGCCTTTGCACCCTCTCTCCTCTCCCCAGACTCTGGGGTCTCATGGCTTATCGTGGTCACTGAGGCCCCTGGGTGACATTTCTGTGCTTCCCAACCCAGTCCTTAATCTGCAAGGCCTTCCAACTTCTGACTTCCTTGTTTCTAAGATGCCCTAGACACTGTTATTTCTTTATTTTCTTAAGAAGCTTTCCCCAACCCCCCAGTATAGGCTAAAATCACTCGCCCCCTCAATACGCCACCCCCCATCACAGTTTCTAGGCCAGGGCATAAGCTGGGCCTGCGTTGCCAACTGTAGGCCCTTCCCTGCCTGCTGACCACCGTGGCCTACAGCCAGACTGTTGCTGCTGCACTTAATTGCCTGGTGGGGTGATTGCAAGCCGGCTCAATTTTGGGAGGTCTCCTTGGCTTTCTTCTGAAAAGTTAGGAAAATAACCCAACTCCCGTGTATTTTTTGAGAGGAGGGAAGGAATTCTGTTCTTCTCTATAAATAAGAAAGATTTCAGGGCCGACCCGTTGCTCACTCGGGAGAGTGTGGTGCTGATAACAGCAAGGCCACACAGGTTCAGATCCCTATATAAGGATGGCCGGTTAGCTCACTTGGGAGAGCGTGGTGCTGACAACACCAAGTCAAGGGTTAAGATCCCCTTACTGGTCATTTAAAAAAAAAAAAAAAAAGATTTCATTGAAGCAGTTCTTCTAATGTATTTAAAAAATGAAGGGCCGGCCCGGTGGCGCCTCCCGCCGAGGGTTCAGATCCCACATACAGACCAGCCGCTCACTGGCTGAGCGAGGTGCAGGCGCAACACCGAGGGTTGCGATCCCGTTGCCGGTCCCGGTCCGGTATGGGCGCGACACTGAGGGTTGCGATCCATTGCCGGACACGAAAAAAGACAAAAAAAGGAAAAAAAAAAAATGAAACAGAATATTTGATAATTAGATCTGTTATTAATTTTCAGTAGCATCCTAGCATTTTTTAAAATTTATTTGTGATCTGGTTATTTGTGCCCCTTTAAAGGACATTGTTTTGGTTTTTGAAATGAGCCTGTTCTTTCAGCTAAACCAAGACTACCTAAAATATAAAATTTTTAAAAATTGAAGTTAATTTGTTGTGCAGTTTTTGGGAAAGGATTTCAGGGGAAGCCTGAATGTATATTTCTTATTTTAAGGAATCATTAGACGTGCGCCAGTGGGATCTTCACTATTCATTACGTGGTATAGGAACTGAGTGCAAGAGGTTGATGTCACCCCTAGGGGCCCCAGAGTCAGAGCGTGGTGCTTGCCCGCTTGCTGTGTACTGTGGCATGTCTGTGTGCTGCTCATGGCACCCACATTACTAGGCACCAGCTTATATGAAGCCACCTGAGCGTGTATGGTGTGTGAGGAGACACCACAACCTTGTTGAAATGAGGATCTTGAATATGCTCTTGCTGTTTCTGTTCCATCCGGGAGGGGCTGAACCGAGCCAAAGGCAGGTGAGTGTGGGCGGACTGCAGGTGGCGCCAGAGCGCCCCACCCCCAGAGCATTCCCATCCAGTCCTTCACACTTAACTGACTAAGCTAAAACCTTAACTGCTCTTCACACTTGAATTTGAGGATTTGGTCTGTGGGGATAATTCATTTTCTTTGAAATAGTTCTGCAAACTAAAGCGTTTGTGTATTTGGGGAGGAAGGAATGTACGGTACAGCAGTGTCTTGTATGCTTCCTGGATTTTCGGAAGCAGTTTTTAGATGGTTACCCTCCATTCTGACAATCTTTGTCACGTAAAAAGTTGCTCCAAAATTAATGGCAGAAAATAGAATTTCCAGTTATATAATTGTATGAGCACGAAACAGTTGACCTACAGGGAGGTACCTAGAAGCATGCTGTGTGTTAAGGCTGGTTATTTTAAGATTAAAAATTTGCTGTAGAAAATCCCCAAAAGGTGGTCGTTTGTACTTTAAGGAAGGGTGTGGGTGGGAGCGGTTCCATAGGCAGATAGCAGAGTTCCTGGTGTGCAGAGTGGCTTAATAAACCTCCGAGACAGTGCTGTGCAGGAGAACTTTCTGCGGTGATGGAAAAAGTCCATTTCTACATTGGCCAGTGTAGTAGCCACTGGCCACATGTGGCTATTGAGCACTCGTAATGTGGTTAGTGTGACTGAGGAGCTGAACTTTTGGTTTTATTTCATTTTAATTAATTTAAGTTACCACTTGCAGTTAGTGGCTACCTATTGGGTAGCAGAGCTGTAAGAGGTTAAGTAACTTGCCTCCTATCCCATGCTTATAAGTAGCCACACCTAGGATTGACACCCATCAGTCCAGGGCCAAAGCCAGACATGCAGGCAGGGCACAGCAGAGACACACTTGTTTCTCTTCACAATGACTGGGGCCTCCACTGGGGTGGCTTGAATAGCTAGAGATTTCTAGCAGATTGGGGCCTTGGGTCTGGCTGCCAGGTGGGTTCCTCAGCCTTTCTCCATGTCCCCTCTGTGCATTCTGTGCAAAAAGCTTCTTTCCCTCCCATGTCTGTCTGGTGATGTCTGGTGTGTAGGATGAGGCACTGCAACAGCCCTGCGTCACTCTCCTTGCAGCCTCTCCACATGGCTTGCTTGGGCCTCCTCACAGCATGGCGTCTCAGGGTCATTTGATTTCTTACAGGGTAGATGGCTTCCCTCAGAGAAACATTCTAAGAGGTCCAGGAAGAAACTGGAAGGCTTCCTGTGTCCACACTCAGAAGTCCCAGCACGTCACTTCCTCCCATTCTGTGCTTCAACAAGCACATCACTTAGGCCAGCCCAGATTTAAGGGGAGGGCATGTGAATCTACCTCTCACTGGGAGGGTAGCAAAAACTATGCAGCAGGTTTTTATCTACCACACATTTTGTGAAAACAAAATTGATTGCTAATGCGTTTACAGTGCTTGCTGATGATAGATTTTCTGGAAGAACATTTATCCTACTCGTGGAGCACTACTGTCCCGCCACTCCCAGCCAGCACTCCCATCATTTCCGTGGCAGGGTTGAAATAGTGTTGCCACAAATGATAGGTATTTTCTTTTCCCAGCCTTCTTTTTTCTTCCCTTTGTCTCCCGTTGCAGTCAGTCTAGTTTATTTCCTTCGTTAATTAACTGTATAAAGGAAGATGAAAGAAACCGTGGACATTATAGCACAGAAAAAGCCAGCTGGAAATGACATTCACCTGGCCAGAACCTTCCTTACGAGGATTTTGAGAAATTCTATGAGGTACAGTCTTGGTGTTACGTTTCCTTCACTTCTCTGGTGTAATGAATTTGCCTATTTTATGCTTTCTCTTTAGTTCATGGGAAGCTATTATCCAGTCCACCTCTCTCACATTTTGCCACCTATATACTTTTTCCTGTTAAAATTATCTCAGTCATCAAAAGGTTTGCATTATAATGCTTTTTGGTTTTATTTTGTCAACTATTCTTTATTGAATAATATTCTTGCAATCTTTGCCTGCTGGGAAAAATGATCTCCATGAAGTAGCTGCAGAGGCTCAGTTGAGCTTTTTCTGTTCTTGCCTGGGCTGTAAATTGTCCACAGTGAGGCCATCTCTGACCTAAGTTACAGAAGTGAGAAGGAAAGCTTGCTTCCTACTGTGAAGATGGAGCAGCGAACTTGGGTTGGGGTGCCACATTCCCTGGAAGCTCTGTTATGTCACCCAGCACCTGTAGGGATTTTCACATGGGCACACCTTACCACACCTGAGAAGTGTGGCCAAAACACTAAGCCACACTGGGTGGGGGGGACTGTGGCATGGAAGCCCAGGAAGGCGCACACCATGCCAGAAGCCCTGGCTGCAATGGACTTGAGTCTGTTGCCGATCTAGGGCATTGTGGTGCACATGACAGGGACCCTGGGTTGACTTCACAGACACGCACCAAGGAGCTTGCGGAAGATACGGCTACTAGCCTTAGTTAACTGCTAGACGGCCGTATTTACTTAGTAAATAAACAGAGGTGAGCAGTCTAATCCCTGCATGACACAGCCCACTGGGGCCTCACTTACCTTTTCCCCAGCACAGTCCCTTTTCTGCAGGGGGGCCCAGGGCCCTGTGCCAAGCGGTCTGACACGTAGGAGATCCTGGTATTGTTCCTACTGGGACAGGGAGGGTAAGATTGGCTTACTTGTTTATTTAGAATAAATGTTATCCATTTAGTTTTACATTGGTCACGTTTTTAATTGACGAGCACCAATCATCTCTATTTGTGGAGGAATACCTTTTAAGGAATAAGGCCTGCTTCACGTTGTGGAGCTGTGACTGCCAGTCCGCATAGGACAGACTGGTCACTAACCCAAATCTATGCAGGAGGTGCATGGTGGCCACAGTGAGAAGTGCACAGAAGTGACACTGAGCATTCTGCATGAGCAGCCAGGACCGGCTTCTGCCCTCATGCTTGTCTTGGCGTGAGGCACCCTGCCTGTGGAGTTCCTGACCCTTTGCCTTCTCTTCCAGGAGAACCGAGCTGAGCTGGCGGCCACACTCCTGGCACGCCGCCAAGGTGTCGGACAGCCCGCCTGAGCCAGCAGCCTCGCAGCTCCCCTGTGCCCACGGCTGCCCCTCCTGGCATGGCCGCCACCACGCCAGGTAGGGCCTGCACCGGCAGGACAGAGTCTGTTGCACACTCCACAGATGCTCGTGACTGCAGCCCTGTTGTGATGGCACATGCTTGACTCAGAATGATCATGATGTTTGTGATGAGACCAGGCCATCGATACATGATTGCAGTTAGAATTCTACATTTTTCACTGAGCAGACACATGTGTGACTCAGGAAACAAAACATAAGATGGCCAGGCAAGGGATGTGCTAACACCCTTTCTCATGCGTGCTATTGAAGTGAGGGGACTTACTGCTCGGGTGGAGGCCCTTTGTGACAACGAGTGGCATGCCAGGCTGTTGGTGGTTCTGAGCCAGGTGGCACTGCTGTCCACGTCACCTACCCTGCCCACAGCCACTGCCCTTCTTTCGAGGGTTTCCCATGTGGATTGGAAGGCAGGAGAGATTTATGAGGTGCAGGTGCATTTCCTGCCCGGGAGATTCTGTTAAGCCTGTGCACCCTCTCCCAACCCCCTCAGGGGTTAGTTGCCAGTGTCCTCACTAGTCTCCCATTAGCAGGATGAGGGTAGCAACAGAGTGTGGTTTTGATGTGTATGTGTGCAGGTGTGTGTATGTCCCCATATATGTGTGCATGTATATCTCTGTGTGTTTCTGTATGTGTGTGTGTGCAGATGGTCATCTCTGTAGGTGTGTGTGCATGTGTATCTGTATGTATGCCTATAAGTGCATGACTGACTGTGCTTGTATGTGTACGCATGCACGCATATGTGTATCTATGTGAGTGTGCAAGTATGAGTACATATGTATCTATGTATGTGTGTTTGTGTGTGCGTATATGTATGTGTGTTTGGAGCTAATGTAACCACCTCAAAGTCAGTCTTTGGCAGTTAATCAATACCAGTCTACTACAAAACTGCAAAGTAAAGTACTCATGCGGCATGAAGGAAATACATTCTAAGTATGATATTATGTATTTAAAGCAACTAGAAATGATGGTAATTAGAGCCCAGGGTAATTTTGAGAAACCACAGATTCTCCACTGAGTAGTAAAACTTAATGAAAACTTCATTACTAAAGTGACTTACTATAACAGGATCTCCATTAAGCCCATTTGGTGGTTTCTTGATTAAAGAAACATACATACTGTGCACGTGTGCATGGAAAGAACACTTCGTTATATCTGCTTGGACTTAGGATCTCGCAAGAGAGGACACCTGGTCTGTCCATAGAGACCCCAGTGGTCTTCTGCCTCCCGCAGGTGACTCTGTCAGTCTATTCTCCCATGTCCTTGCCCTGGTCACAGTTTTCTGTCTCATCCCCATTATCCTCAGACCTACTATATCCACAGCCTTTTTTTTTTTTACTTGAAGCGTGAATGTTCCAGCTTGTTGGGCTTTAAGGAAAGCATTTAACATCCTCAGTGAATAGTTTCACCACTAAGAGCTACCAGTCACTCTCATGCACGCAACAATTACTTTCTCACAGAATAATTAATTTCTCAATTAGCCATTTGTTTCTCTGTCTTAGACACCACCTAATTAGGAATCTTTGTTTTTTTGGTGTTCATATATAGCTCCAATGTAGGCTTGATCAGTCACTGTACAGTGTATATTCTTGCTAATAAAGCCTGTCTCCTGTGTTCTCCATCAAATACTCAGTTGATGGAGAGTTTAGAGGGGAACTAGGAATACTTTAATATTTAGATTTAGAAAATAAATGTTATCCCTGAACTTTCTCTTTTAATTTTAAAATTATTTGAATTTTTGATTGCTTCCTTGTGTTAATCCATCATAAGAAGCATTTCATACACTAACCCAGGGATTCACAAACTGCTTCTGTAAAGGGCCAGCTAGTAAATATTTTTGGCTTTGCTGCCCGGACAGTCTGTTGCAATTACTCTGCTCTGCCCTGGTAGCACGAGAGCAGACCATTCATAAACTAATGGGCACAGTTGTGTTCCAGTAAAACTTTATTTATGAACTAAAATTTGAATTTTATATAATTTCCACAAATAGGAGAAACGTTATTACTTGGATTTCTTTTCCCCCAACCATTTAAAAATATGAAAAGTCTTCTCAGCTCATGGGATGTAGTTTGCCACCCTCTGTACTTAACTATTGATGACCGCAGAAGTTTTAATACCAAAACTACCTGCTAGCGCCATGGGCATTAGGGCGAGAAAGTGCCTGCTGGTGTTGAAAGGCATCTGTTGGGTAAAGGGGCATCCAGCAGGTAGAACCCTGCCTTTTCAATCTGCCCTCAGAGAGTTTCTCTCTCTCTATGCTAAAATTTCGGTGTGCCATGGTGAAAGCTCAGACCCAGGGATGTCATCCTAGGAAGTGTGATGGGGCATCTCTGTGTTTCCATGGCGGCCAGCTGTGCTCGCGTGCTGTGGTCTTTACTCTCGCCCTGTGCTGAAGCCCACCCATGTCGTTCTTCTCGTTTCTGTAGCTCCTCCTCCCATGACCTGTCCAGCTCGTGGGAGCAGACAAACCTACAGCGCTCTTCTGACCACTTCAGCTCCCTGGGGAGCGTCGACAGCCTGGACCACCCCTCCCAGGGTCGCCTCTCAGCTGCCAAGTCCAACAGCAGCATTGACCACCTGGGCAGCCATAGCAAGCGTGACTCGGCCTACGGCTCGTTTTCCACCAGCTCTAGCACCCCTGACCACACCTTGTCTAAGGCCGAGGCCTCCTCCACAGACAACATCCTCTACAAAGTCAGCCTCTGGGAGGCCTCTGGGCAGGGCGGTGGGTGGCAGGGCCAGGCCGCCAGTGACCCTCAAGGCTTAGAGGAGAGGCTCATGTGTTTCCCTCCCAGGATCTCTGGTGACTGTAATAAAAGCCCTAGGCCAGAGGACAGTGCTGAGCCCAAGCTGGCCACTTCTGGGAGGTCCAATTTTGGGCCAGTCTGGTATGTTCCTCATAAGAGAAAAGCACCTTCCTCTCCTCCACCACCCCCTCCTCCTCTGCGCAGTGACAGCTTCGCTGCCACCAAGAGCCATGAGAAGGCCCAGGGCCCTGCACACTCAGAGGTGGCCACCACGCAGCACTTTACGTCCCTGGCCCGGCCTCAGCCTCGCATTGACTGTAAACCAGACCCCGCCGACCGGCAGCGAAGGCTGGCACGTCCCAGCAGTGGAAAGGGAGTGGACAGCTCGGGCTACCTGCCAGAGGCTCGCCTGGACTGCGGCTGGCTGTGCGCCGATGATAGGGCGGGCAGGCTGCAGGCCTCCCTGCCCGGCACAGACCTGTGCTTCCCACAGGCTGCCCACAGGGGCCAGCACCCCCGCCAGTACAGCGACGAGAGTCCCTGCTTTCCCCAGAGCACCAGGGCCCTATCTGGCAGCCGGCAGGAGCCCCCCACTGCCCACTTCCAGGAGCAGAGTGCAGGGGGCGGCAGCCAGAGCCACTACAGGGCGGGCAGGCTGCAGGCCTCCCTGCCTGGCACAGACCTGTGCTTCCCACAGGCTGCCCACGGGGGCCAGCACCCACGCCAGTACAGCAACGAGAGTCCCTGCTTTCCCCAGAGCACCAGGGCCGTATCTGGCAGCCGGCAGGGGCCCCCCACTGCCCACTTCCAGGAGCAGAGTGCGGGGGGTGGCAGCCAGAGCAACTACTGCTGTGCACCTGCCAGGCAGCTGCTCCCGGGGGAGTACTGGCATTGCGACATGGGCGTGAGCCAGCAACGTTGCCTACCTCAGCACGGGGAGGTCCTGGTCATCCGGAAGAGAGAGAGGGGCTCCCCGCTGGAGGCAGGCTGCACCCCAGGAGTGCAGGAGCCTCTCAGAAGAGGCCATGCTGGGAAAGCCGGCCAGAAGGACGTGGGGGACAGCTTTGGGTGGGCGGACAGCTATGGTGGCAGAATCTCGCCCCAGAAGACGCCCATGCTACACTGCTTGACGCAGGAGGGTACAAGCCAGGGGGGCGCCGAGAGGCCAGAGCCATTTGACTCCCAGGTGGGGAAGCCCATGCGGAGGAGCAACCGATTTGCCACCACCCTGAGGAATGAGATCCAGATGCGCAGAGCCAAGCTGCAGAAAAGCAAAAGCACAGTGACACTGACCACAGCCAGCAAAGCAGAGGACACCACTGGTGACTGGGGGCCCCAGCTGGAAGGGGCCTCCAGTGCCACCCCAGAAGGTTCCTTCCCCTGCAGCTATAAAGACCACCTGAAGGAGGCTCAAGCCCAGGTCCTGAGGGCCACGTCCTTTAAGCGCCACGACTTGGACCCCAGCCCAGCGGACCAGTATCCAGGGTCCCCAGAACATAGGACTGGGGACCACGGCACCTCGTGCTTGTTGTTCGGGGATCCGGACCCTGTCTCTTACTTTTCGGAGGCGGGCCTGGCCAAGCCTCTGTCATCTGGAAGTGGCATGCCCCACGTCCCCCGCATCGGAGGCCGGAAACGGTTCACTGCAGAGCAGAAACTGAAGTCCTACTCTGAACCTGAGAAAATGAATGAGGTGGGCCTCTCAGGGAACCGCGGTCCTCACCAGTACCCCAGGACGTCCGAGGATACTGTGGGCACCTTTGCTGACAGGTGGAAGTTTTTCGAGGAAACAAGCAAACCCATCCATCAGAGGCCTGGGCAGAGACAAGCTCTTTGGGGATTCCCGAGAGAGAAGCCCGAGAGGCTGTGCACAGCAGGCCATGGGTGCGAGGGCACTGAGCCTTGGTTCCGGAAGAGGTCGAACACCACATCTTCTGGGGAAAGCCTCCACGGTCACAGAAAAGTGGACAAGGCAGGGAAATTGGAACCACCAGGGAGGCTCGGAACCTTTGCAGAGTATCAAGCCTGTTGGAAGGAACAGAGGAAACCTCTGGAAGCCAGGAGTTCTGGGCGGTATCACTCTGCAGATGACATTCTGGATGTGGGTCTGGACCAACAGGAGAGGCCGCAGTATGTCCATGGAAGGTCCCGGTCGTCGCCGTCCACAGACCACTACAAACAGGTAAGCATCACCACAAGTGAGGCCATAGCCTGCCCTTGACTGTCATCTTAAGACTCGTGCAGGACACACCCAAAATAATGGCCCAGTATCGGTGCTGCTGGAGCTCGGTGTTGAGCATTTTATGTTCATCGGCTTTTTCAGTGTCAGCATGTATGAAAGGTCCTTGAGGACAAAGGTACCTTCACAGCAATTTCAAGCGCTGTGTTTCTGCAAACCCACGTCTCTCATTTCCAGCCTTGTCATCGTAATCTCCTGCTTCAGCTTATCTTTCCCCTTAATTAGCTTGCCCCTGCCTTCACACTGAGTGAAGGACTTAATTAGCTTGCCCCTGCCTTCACACTAAGCAAAAGATTAGAAAATGGTAACTCACCCCTCTGAACTGAAAATGGGTGCTTTATTTAAAGTCTTAAGACAACCTACGATACAATATTTGTTCTTTGTAGTATTTTTTTCATTTGCATATATTTTTGAGAGTTGCCCTTGGGCACAAAATGTATTTAAAATGTATTAAGCTATTGCATTTTCTTAAGGTTAGAGTTTTGATGCAGAGAGTTAACTTCAGACTTTCTAGAAAACTACATATTTTTATCTGTACTTTAGTGTGGAAAGTCAGTCTCCTTCTGTCCCTGTTTCCCTCCCCCACTCTTTCTGCTTTTTCTGCCTATTATATCTGCATTTGTGTAATTCAAAGAAAAAAATTTTCTGCAGTAACATGCAGTTTCTTTGTAAAGAACCAGAAGTAGATTTAATACAAGAAGTCCAGTATGTGCCTGGAAAGAAAGCTGCGCATTTGCACTGTGGTGTCCTAGTGCTGAAAACCCGCACAGACACTGCGGGCATTTGTTTCTGCCATTGCTGTGCCCTGGCTATGGACCGTTCAGCATGACCTCTGAGGATTCCATGCATCTCGGTCAGGAGTGAAGAATCCCAGATTCCAACAAGTCCTAGGGCTGGAGGCTTCAACGCAGTGATTTGTGACCAGCTGTGTTTTATTTTCTCTCATTTGGCCGATTGTGTCATACAATTTTGCAGGCTTCACGTAGGAGTTCTGTTTCCTGCCCAGAACAGAAGTGGATGTGGGGTTGTAGTTCAGTCTTTTCAATGAAATGCTTTGTCAAATGGAATTGGTGAGTCTCGGCACAAGACAACAGGCAGCTTCATGGACGTGTGGTGCAGCCGCACAAGGCGGACCGGCAAATGAGGGGTTTCATAATAACAGAGGTCTCGGAGAAGGCAGCTTGATGACTCGGTGTCTCATTGTGCTGCCCTTGGCAGGAAGCATCTGTCGAACCGGGAAGGCACGCGGAGGACCCTGGTGAGCACAGAGAAGAACTTCCCTCCACAGTGTGTGCCCCAGAGGGACATTCCACTGCGAGGTAGGTGAACTTTGGATCTGGGGTTACTAAAAAGGTGTCTTGGGGGTGGGCTTCTTGATGGTGGATGAATGCTTGGTTAGCGTGGCCAGATGTCTGGTTTTTGCCAAACCCAAATCGGCTGCTAACTGGGTGATTTCCAGTGGCCCTGATGCCCTGGGGTCCTGAGCAGAGCCTGTGTGCCCTGCAGCCCTGCCCTGAGGAGTATTCCAAAGGCGCAACCGCCTTCTAAAGCTGTGGTGGCATTTTGGGTTCTTAAGATGGCTGTTGTGCTCTCCGTACAGTGAGACTCTTAACGGCA